AATATTGTTTTCCTATATTATATGCTAATCATTCTAAAATATGATAATCCTATTAATTCTAATAATAAATAAATGGTGAATATTGAAATTGGTATGACCACTGATATGTATTAATTGGATATTAATAKATATATAAACAGGCTAATACACTAAAGATATAAAATGTAAAAACTTATGATGAAACAATGAAACAAGTTATGAAAGCTAACGTTACGAGCTTGATAAATTTCCGGTTTCTCGTCGTATTTTTATACAATGCAATAAATTGAAATTCAGTATACAATTTATGCGCAGTAGTAACTAAGAATAAATAAATATCTTAAATAAATAAATAAATAAATAAATAAATACCAATATTCGTAGCTATTATCTATTACTTATATACCTACTGGTAACTAACAAGAGGGTGGACAGACATAACACGAGATTTAAGGTTTTTTAAWYTTTTGTTAGGCACCTACAACCTTGATAACTAACACAATTTAAAAATATTTAATATTAAAAGTTATTTTATACTTTTGTTGATTTCTTATATTTTGATTTGATTTTATTCGGCACGGAATATCTTCATTTTTGTCTAAGTGCTTAAAATCTTGTATTAATGAATTTTGATTATCATAACTTTCTGTTGATGACACTCGAACCATGACTGTTGATATGTTATTCATATGTGACACACTGCAGTTTAGAAGATTTTCATTATAACATGATATATTAAAAGTTAAGTTCTTTTAATGTAAAATATTTTAAATTATATACCTACTTGAAAATATTTAAATAAGCTTGAAGATCGTGATTCGGACAATTTAGCCAATCGAATTTGTATCCAACCATTGCTATATTTGGTTTCAATTGTCCATGTCCACAGCTATATATTATACGAGTAGCTAAATCCAATTCTGTGTTATCAAGGACAACATATAGAGATTTGATTCTAGAATTCTTTAACCATTGAATTCCTTTTTCAAGGCATATTTTCTTTTGACTCGGCGTAAGCGATGTCTTAAAAAAAAAATATATATATAAGTATGTATATCCTTCATTTTAATACATACAATTGTTACAGATTTTATCATTTTTTGTTATAGCTAACCTTTTCAATATTGACACACATCTGTACACCATTTTTCTTCGTAATCAAATTAGCTAATGCAACTAAATTTTTTCTTGACTCAGGGTATCCAGAAAAAATAATTAAATTAGGTAAATAGTTTTTAATATGGTAATTAATACTAGTGGCTTTATACACGTTTCTTATAACCATTTTTAATTGAAATATTTGAACAGAAGATCCCCAATTTATCGCTTTATTAAAATACAATTTTTGTTATTGAAAATATCGATTAATTAATTCATTAGGTTCATTATCTAAGCAGTTTAACAAACCTTCATTTTTTCTATAAGCAAATAAGGCCACAATAATTATAGCAAAAACAAAAATTATTGACATAATTTCATCAATTAATAACATAAATAAAATGCAGATACCAGCTGTAGCAACACTTAACCATCTGTGATATAACTAAAAACATAATTTATTAATAATTTATTGTTATACACTATAAAATAATGTAAGTAGTTAACCA